GATTTTTAGGTCAGACTGTCCTAATCTGACATGAGGATGTATTGCTGGAGCAAGCTCTCTCACAGCATTTGGTCCAATGACACTGAGGTCAACAGATTGAGCTTCTTGCACTGGGAGACAGAGCTGTTGCTATGTCCTTGAAAAATGAATAAAAGTTATTCCAGTCATTGGTAAATATACACTGCATAACTTAGATGTCACAATGAAATTAGATTAGTCCAACATTAGCACCATCACCAAATTAATGTAAAAGCCCCAATGGTTAGTCAAGCAACAAAAAATGAGAAAGCAAGCAGAAATGCATTGGTGGAAATGTCTAAAGGAACAAATCTATGCCACAAAGTCAGAGCTTCTCTAAAGCAATCTGCTATTTTTTTCCAGAAAAAGTACATATGGTAAAAAAAAAAAAAAAATGGTAAATGTTGAATGCTAAAGTATCATTTGAAAGTAAAAAAAAAAATAAAATTGTAGCTTTTGGCAAAAATACCATGGTTTCAATGAGAAAAGAACAGATTTATCTCTGGAAAATAAACACTGCTCACATTTTACCACAATCTCTGCTTTTCCACAGAAAATCCAGGCTTGAGTTAACTTTCACAAAACACTGCACTTCCTTTCTCATTTTTCCTACTTGCCAAGACGTTCAACAAAGTCTGGATCCCATCCCCGTTCTTCAGCTGCAGCTCCCGTTGGGATCAACAGCAATGCTGTAAGCTGGGAGGAAGCCTGGGTCCAGGTTTCGGCAGAGACGGGGCTGCCGTACCTGGGATCGGCTGCAAACCAGCGAGCTTTTTTTTTTGCATCCTACAGCGCTCCTGCCTCCTGCAGCCTCTGTTGGCATCAGAGCTGAAGAGGTGCTAGAGACAAAACCAATGCTTGCTTTGAAATCACCGAGACTCCAAACTCAGCCAGGGCAACCAGTATGGCTGGGGGCTGCTTCAAATACCAAGGCTGCTCGCAGCCTCCTGAAGACTTGACGTTAAGTCCAGCCCACTTGGAAACCCACTTTCTGCTCATCCCTTCCTCCTGAGCTGGCTATGAGATGGGACTTCTAGAGAAAACAGGACAGGCTATAATCATAGTGAAAGTCATAGAAAGTGGGCAGCTGCCAATGGCGGCAGGTTGCTCTCAATGTTACCTGTTTTACCAGGGAAAGCTGAGCGTGCTGCTGCTGCTGCTCCCAGTGTGGAGGACAGGAGCTGGGAGGCAAAAATAACTGAAATCACCAGGCTTGCTCCTTCTGCCAGCTGGTGACAGCGGAGGCCACAAGCCCAGCTCTGGGATGGCAAAGCTCTGCTCTGCCCACGCGGCTGCAGAGGTTTGAGGCAGTACTGTGTAAAAGCTGTCACACAAAGGCAAGTCGGCTTTCATACAGCAATGTGCGCAGGTGGTTTCATCTGCAAAAACCTCAGCTGCTTCCATCTTCCTCTGCCAAGACAGCTTTGCGCCAGGAGACCAACAAAATGAATCAGATCAGTGAATATACCTTGTGGTCTAATTGCAAGAATATATGCCAGTAAGTTGGGCTCGCATTAAAACTCAGTTGCTTGAACCAGAAATTTATGCTGCGGGAGAGAACATGAGCCAAACAGCAGTTCTGGACCATATCAAGCCAAAAATTTCCTCTCCAGGACAAACACACAAAGCCACAAAAGCACACAAGGGGCAAAACCAAAAGGCAGTAAAGGATGCTGCAGGAGTGCCGCTTTTCCCCACGGAATATGGCGGAGGGAGAGGCTGTCCCCTGCCCCTCTGCCCCCATGCCTTGTGCTCTTGCAGGAGCGGGTCACAGAGAAGCTCTGATGGCTCAGGTAGAGGTCGGAGCAGAATTTGGTGGAGGTATAAGGGAGCCTTTTCCCTCTGTGAGGGACCACAGGGCTCCGCCAACATTTCTGGAGCACAATCCTGGCGCTGCCTGGCAGCGAGGGCAGAGCTCAGCCCTGACAAGGCACTGTGCCACCGGGCAGGCTGGAGCTCTAGGGGCAGGCAAAACCTTTGCCTCTGGTATTGGCCCACAGCCCTGCAGACTCAGATGTTCCTATGGTTTATACCATCCTGTTTAGCATCTGTTGCACAATCAGAAAAAAGAAAGAGTGCTTCGAACATGAAGCACCGACCAAGATCTGACAATCTTGATGCTACCACCAGATATGATCGCGTGCATTGCCACCTATCTCCCAGTATCTGTAGTGTGCGCTGTGCAACCACAGACTGGCAGGACAGCCTGCATCACCATCTATCTCCAGCATCTGCTGGGTCTGTAACCAGCACACAGCAGCCTGCAGCTGAAACACAGGCCCTTGAGCTTCATTTTTGGCTCTCCTAGATTGCAGCGCAGCAGCCCCAGCAGACAGGGACAGTGAAGTGCTAAAGGGCAGCTCTGGGCACCCACTGTTAGCCCTGGTATTTCTTCATGTCTGGTTCAAATCCCTTTAACTTGCCTTTAACCTCTGCGAAGTGCTTCCACTGAATCTCAGGTGTGTGTGCCCAGTGTGTCATTATGGCTGCACATCTCCTAGTAGAGACCTTCCTACCTCGCAGTCAATACAAATGTCTGTGTTTGTTCCATGAATTTGCACACATATTAATCAAATGGCATTTCTTACAGCACAGATTGCCATTTGTCTTCTACAGCATCTGATTACAAGTGAAAAATCCCGTTATTCTTTCCCAGATTACTTCTTTTTCCTGAAAGCACTATACCTTTTCTGCAGTTACCAGTTCTTACTCACATTGCTCCAGGAGCAACTCTGTTCCCACAGAAATGAAAGGAAATTTTGCCACTGACTCTGAAGCAGTCCTCCCACCAGGACCACAGGGTTTGAGCTCTCCTGGCTCACATCCTTTAGGTCCCCACACAAAACCCTGTTACTTAATCTCAGTGCAGAAATCTCACCCTGGACCACTCAGCTTTCCCCAGCCACCACAGGCTCCAGCTAAGGCTCCTGGAGGCTGGTGACAAAGCTTCTGGTTTTAAAAAAGCATAGTTGCTTCCAGCACTAGTCCTCCCTTCGAAAATGTATATTGCATTTGGGATTAAGTAAAATCAGAAAGTATTAGCACTGAAAAGACAAACTGGTTGCAGTTACTCAGATTAAAACTTCCACTGTACTTGATTAAATGTCAGCACAACAGATCGCTGTGGAGTCTGAAGACATGAGATAGCATGTCAGAAGGAAACAGGTTTTTCATCTTGTGATTCCCACAGTCCATTCACATTACTTTCCTTTTATTTGAAACATAGAAGACAGATAACATGACACCTGGGTGTGTAGAGAATTAATAAATGAGAAATAAATGGATTCTGCTCAAGCTGCCAGGACATGTACAGCCTCTATTTGACAGTAAGTTTGCTTTTCATACAAGGTATGTTGGCACTTCAGTAGCATTGCAGTAAGTAAAGGCTCCTCTTACGATCAATGGCAATCACAAAGAGACTCTTTCCACTCGTTTCCAGCGTCAGCCAGTACGCAAGTTTCTGGAGGCTTGCAGATCAAAGAAAATAATTGAGTTTGCACAGCCTCTACTAAGGAATTGCAAGCAGCTATTGCTCGTACTGAGATCACGGCTGGACAAAACAAAAGCAGAGTTTGCACAGGACCAGAGCAGCAAGCACTCAGGACTTCAGTGTTTGAACTGTTAGCAGCCCAGCTAAGTAAGAGCAGAGACTTCATCAGTCAAGCTCTTTTGAAAGTCCAGTCTATAAGCCTATATTGCTTTTAGCTGGCTGCCAGCCTGAAATGGAGCAACTGCTGCCATACACAAGCCATCTCCTCTTTGCTACAGCAGCACCATCTCAGTCCGGGAGAGCAGCAAAATAACATGAGAGATGCAGAAAGAAGACAACAAAAGGAAAACAAATCAAGGCACGAATAATTAGACACACACACGCCCCTTCTCTTTTCTTTTTATTCCCACCCCCCCAGTTTTCTTTGCGCACCATTTCCCTACCCTCTGTATGGGGAAAGGACAGAAGATCTCAGAACTGAAACAGCCTCGTTAATGTGACCAGGAGGGCAGGTTCCCATCCTTTTTTCAGCATCAGAAACAGAAGATGATTAAGACAAAAAAGTTACAAGTTCTTGAGTTCCCAGAAAGTTCCCTGAAGTCATAGCTTGGTCATAAACCAGTGTAAATACAAAAAGTAGTAAGCAACTTTCTGTGTAGGTGTGTACAGACAACAGCTACCAGACCAGTAATGTTCCAGGAAGAGTGAGAAGAAAATACTGTTAACACACATATGCCCTTTAAACAAAAATATTAGTGAGATGATCTCACAGAACAAAAAGAAAGAAATCAAAGTGGGGGGGAAAAGTCATAAGCAGGCCCACAGAGGTTTGAAACAAGGCATGTACAGGAAAGGTGCTGTACGCTGAGTTGTAAGCCAGGGAGAAAACAGAGCTTTAAAGAATTTTGCATTTATTCTGGTCCATGTCTCCCCTTCTTGATTTGTTTCTCCCTCCAGCCTCCTGGCACTTGGAACTCACAGGTTCCCAGCAGCAAGCTGAGCAATTGCTCCATCTCGCAAGTAGACCCAAGAAGCTGAGAGATGCAGTGCTACAGGCAAGAGGGCTATGTGACCCTCCTGGGACAGGCTTCCTCATGTTTATAAGTCTGCCCCAGACCATCACACTTGCAGAGTATTTTGGTTTCCTCCACTTGTATCCTCTGTCGAACAGAGCTGCATGTGACACTGGAGGAGGGGATACATTCAGGAGCCACAGGGACCTGCTGTGGATGTCTGAGAAGAAAGGAGCAGCTCATCTCAGAAAAGACAAGACATGTCAGGGATGCAGCGAGAAAAGGGACAGATCTGCCGAGTGGCTGGATGCCAGACCTACTCTCTGATTATGCTCTGATCCCCGGAGGCTGAGCCTACCGAAGCATCTGGGAATTATTTCTGCAGATTGACTGTAATTGGCACAGTTACTGGAAGCTGTTATTATGGAAAATGAGCATGTTGTTGTGCATACGCTTAATCATGGGAACCTACAAAAGGTGGAAGTAAAGTCTTGCTCCTTTAATCATATTATCAGAGTTTCCAAGCATTCTTCATCATGACAATAAAATAGACATCCGTGTCTATTGAAGCGCTGACTCCTGCATAGTAGTTCATGAATTCTTCTGTTGTGACCTGAGACAGAAGGATTTAAAATAGGAAAATTAACCCTTTTTTTTAATGCTATAAGTCAAAACCACACATTGAGAAGAACTCTAAATGAAACTTAACAGCTGCTATTTCATGTTCTTGCTAGTTGAAAGGAATCCAACAGGAAGAATGAAGACACTGAAAATTTGTGTAAGTTCACTCCTTTGCTAGAAATAAGAGCTCTTGTCCTCCAGAAACACTTGGATGGAAATGAAATATGTGGAGTTAAACTAACCTTTCCAAGAACTGAAATTAAAATCCATGCTGCCCAAGAAGACAAATGTTTTAATGCATTTTTTTTTCAGGGATGCTATAATCTGGTTCTTTGCATTATTATTAATAAAGGTGGATGGGGTTTCTGGTGCAACCCAGAGACAAGCTAGGACCTTTATATCCCTTCACTAGAGAGAAAGTATCATTGTTCTAAACAGGTCTCACCTAAAGAAGCAAACATTCTTTCAAATACCTAAGAGTTTTTAATATCTTTCATGGGTATTTTGAGGTTGAATCAGTTCTAAAATGACCATTAAAAAAAAAAAGATTAGCACATACAAAGAGTGCATGTTTCTTGTGATGCCTTAACTCTTGAACCCTATAGGTCATTCTTTGAATAAACATCACACAGAAAAATATTTGCTCCTACTGCATTGTGCAATTGACAGCCCAGTAAAATGTGACAATGTTCCTTCTATCAGGAACCGATTACAAGCTTCGCTGACTCTGCCTATTTCAGAAGCACCCAGCAAGACCAGGGTGAAGAGGACCTTTCTAGCAGATGCTTAGCCTTGAGGCATTTCTGCTAAAAACATTTTAGGTGTTCAGCTCATACCAGTGTCATCAGTAATCTCTGATTCACGCACACAGAAGTCACAGTCAGTTCCCAGAAGAAACTGCAATCGGGTGGGCTAACATCAGGATTGCTGAACAAGAGGAGGGTGCTCAGAGTAACTTTTCTGTAAGCTCAAACACTGCAGCATTTATGAGGTACAAGGCACTGCACTTGTCAAGGATCATTCTGGGGACTCATTTAATGTGTTCATGTATGACCTCAGCACAAAAAGCAGGAACATTTTGCTTCAGGTTTGCTAGACATCATCAGTTCTGCCGAGAAGGAAGGGGACAACTCACGCAATTGATACCTCTGAGGATGACACAACAGAAAAAGGGATGAAATTCAGCTCTACAAAGTGCAAAGTCATGCCCAGGGGAAACAAAAACCATCACCTCTCTACAAACTGAGAGTCTGCCTGTTGGAAACAAAGCAAGTGGAGGATTTGGGTGTAGGAGCCAGCCATTAGACAGGTAGGAGTCACCAGTGTAGCAGCCATGAAAACCCAGGTGCAACCTCAGAAGTGTGAAGTGTTAAACACATTCCACAAGGTGATGAAACCTTACCTAGTTTGTTTTTATGAAAAGCTTGGACTGAAAATATCACCATGTGAACAACGCAGATCCATGATTTTTCTGAATTGGTCAGACACGTACGTTCAGACCAAAGAAGTCTGCAGACACGTAACAGGGGGAAACAAAGCACGCTTGGCTCAGAGACGGTTACAAAGTGGATGCATAAGAAGTCCATCGCAGAAGGTGGCCAGGCTTTGCACCTGCACCGGTGAGTCGAGGCGGAGGGCAGGAAGGGCTCCCAGCCCTGCCCCAGCTAGTGGCTCCTCAAGGCACATGGCTGGTGGCAGCCCCTCCAACCTCACCCTCCCTCCAACTCTCTCTGAATAATTCTATCTCTATTATGGACTGATTTCCAAGTCACGTATCTCATTAATTACACACACTGAAGAAGCGCTAACTGTAAAGTATCTCAAGTATTAGGGAACCTGCTTTTGAACTGAATCTGGGTATTCAGTCTCCTAAGAAGTCAAAAATCATCTATTTTATGTGGCTCTTGAAAATCGGCAGTCGTGTGGGTTAGTCCAAAGATATATTTAGGCTAACCTATGAAAGCAGAGCATTAAGGCTACAAGCCTGTAAATGTAGTCTCACGTTTACCCTTGTACCTCCTGCAGAGCGCCTTTGCCTCCGAATGCGTAAGCAAGCTGCGCCAGCAGTCCTACACAGGGGTTATGCATCTATTTACTGTCCCCCATAAATGTGATGCAAATGCGTATTTGGTACTGTGATCACTCTCGTATTTAATAATTTAAGTCAAACGCTGAGTCAGATGGTGATTTCATGGCTTGACATTAAGTGTTTCACTTACCTTCCCATCTTTGTCATAGGGTGAATCAAAATTATCCAGAAAGGCCCTAAAAACTTGATCTTCTGTCCAGTCTCCATTTTGGTATTTGGGATGATGCTTTGCATTATACACCCCCCGTAAGTCTTCAATTGTTATGACACCATCTCCAGTCTTATCTAACTTCCTAAACGCCTGCATGATGATCTCTTTTCTTGCATTCGACATGGGAGGCTATAAAGAAATATTAACACTATAATTTTATTTCTGCCAACTACTTGCCCAATTCCAAATTCAAGTAGCTGCTGTTGTTAATAGTAAAGCTATTTCAATGCACTTGGGACAACAAACTGCTGACAGTCTACACTGCCTATGAGCTAGGAAGGGCAATATATCACCAAAAAAGCAGTGTGATCGAGACTATTCAATGCCTATCAATACAATAGTAAATGGACAATAAGAGAGAAAATGCTACCTAGTACAATTTTCTATTCTACCCATTTTAAATATTTCTAACAAGAAATTACTAATCACTCTAAGCACTAACTATTTTCTTTCTCAATTGTTTAGACTTCAGCAGAGCAAAGAGACTCCAACCAAAATCAGTCACACTGTGGTTGATTAGAGAAAGCCACCACTGGATTAGTTCATGTTATAAGTAGATGCATCATAAAATGACAGACAAAGAAGTGAGATTAATGGGCTGAACCACCTAGGTACCCAGACTGCAATATAGGAATTTAGGTACCTAATCAAAGCAGTAATTCATAAAAAAATCATCACAACTATTTATCTGCAACTATTCTATTTTATTCTATTTGCAAGGAGCCTTATGCCTTGCCAATAAATTGCGGAGATGTGTTGGCTTCTGAGCTCTCTCATCCACAGAGGTGTTGTTTACGGGGATTTTCTCCTTTAGCGTATTTAGATGGAAATAGAATATTTTAACTTCTCAAGAATTACTGACTTTTTACATAGAGCTGTAGACTTTGCTAATTACTAAGATGAACAAAAGTGCTGTGTTTCGTGTTCAACTAGTGACAAATCAAGGCTTTTTCTCCATTTAATGCAGTAATAACATAAATTCCCAGACTTACTCTCAGTGTAACAAGAAATTCATCAAAATCAATTGTTCCACTGCCATCTTTATCAAATATCCGGAATATCTCTTGTGCTTCTTCCTTGTCTATCATCATAGCATAATCATTTAATCCTTTCACAAATTCTTTGAAATCAAGGGTCCTGCTGTTGTCATCATCCATAATCCGAAATACTCTGTGGAAAATGTGCAGTTTGAGAAGAATGCATACGAAAACTTGAAGAATGCTGCAGTGATTTAGCACAGTGCCAGAGCACAGGGACACCTTACTGAGATAACATTTCCCCCTTGTGAGGGGAGGGAGGGGAAAAAAAAAAAAACGGGAGGAAAAAAATCCCCAACAAAAACCCCCCACACTTATTGACAGCAGAGATGACTTGCTTAGATCGGGTGCCTGAATATTACATAGCTGAAGTTAAATGAGGTGAAGGCTGCCTTAACTGAAGGACCCTTCCTATTCAGTATACGTTGAACCATCTAAAAGGCATGTAGATGAAGTTCCAGCTGGTCACCTAGGATCCCTCTGCGGTTTATGGGGCCTGGGGAGGAGTTTCAGGGTGTGATGCAGCTCCCCCTTCCTAGGGGTGGGGTGAACCACACTCTCAGGGTGAGTGCAGAAGGAGTCTAGATGCCTCCCATAAATCAGACAGCTAATAGACCATTACATACAAGGGAATCACACCCCAAATGAAAGGTACCACAAAATCCCCAGTATTGAGATAATTACAGAAAATAAGAGAGAGAGATGTGTTTTAGAGTCCCCCTCTTT